GACCGATAGGGCACCACACCCTAAAGTCAACTGTGTTCCAAAGCTGTATGTGTTACTGGGTTTGGGGGTGCTCGCCTCTCCTCCTGGATGAGTTTTCCAGGTTCTGTTCCATCTAGAACAAAGAACTGAACAGGAAAAGCAAAAAGAGTCACAAAATTTATTTGAAAAATTCAAAGTGGAGAGTAAGGAGAAACTGGCTCTGTAGAATGAGCTTGGGCCAAATAAAAGAGAGAAAAAACTAAAAATAAAGTACACCCTGGAGGACATGGGGCAGGCTACTGTGAAGAAAACAAAGATAGCACACTTTCAGGAGCATCTGCGTCTTTGTTTCGTCCACACATAAGAGGAACCCAGGAGAACCTACTTGGGCCTTGGTAATTATTTGGTGCACGTGCCCTAGAGTCTGATCACGTTCATCCCCACAACCAGCTATGGCACACCTGGCTTTCCTGTCTCAAATAGATTTGAAGCAGAGATAGAATGTGTAGTGCTGTCTGTTTTGAAGACTAGCAAAAGCTAGGAGAAGAGAGAACTATTCACTGCCTACATTCAAGAGTCAGGCAGGAGGTTAACGAGGTCTATATGTGACTAGTAGGTAGGTAGTGTGGGGCTGAGGACTTTGAGTGATGAATAGTAGGTGAGGCAAAGATATCCAGTTTACAAAATGACTAGTTCCACTTCCACTGAGGTTAAAACTTAGAGCAGAGGGAGGCAGGAGCCAAATATGCCTTAAGTCTCAAGAAACATCCACTCAATAAAACAAATCCTAGTTTATGTACATAAAGAAACAAAAAGAAACAGAGCAAAATGAGAGAAGTTTGAAAGAGCATAGCAGTTAAGATGGAGATAAAGATTTTGCTGGCCAATTAAAAAGCAACAACTTAGCATGGATGGAAAGCTGAAATCCATTTATTTGATTTCTAGTACACACAAAATAATATATATGTGGAAAAAATTCCATAACTTTCCTCAAGTAATCTTGGTAAAAAATATTTTTTCTGACTATAGCATAATAAACCTAGAAATAAATTTAATGGTCCAACAAAAAGAAAAAGCTCAAACACTAGAGACTGAAAATGAATTCCAAAGAGAATAAAAATGCAAATAAAAATGAGAATACAGGATATCAAAATATACAGAATGTGGACAAAATTGCAGAGAAACAAGCAGTAGCCTACTTTTTGATTACCAAAAAGTAAATGATCACCAAAAGTTAATACAAAAATTTATACCACAAGAACTAAAACAAACTCCCCATTAACTACTACCAGGAAAGTAGATACAGTTTAAAAGAGCAAAAACTTGGAACATCGACATCTCCAACATTAAGGACTTTATTTTCTAACAAGGCTACTATGAATGACATTAGTGTATTGAATGATAGGAAAATATTGATAATATTTTGCAAAGTGAGAGACACCTGGTTACAATAGTATATTATATGTGCTAGCATAGAAATATGACATGTATATATCAGGTACTATGTAACCATGTCAAAATATTGATTAATTTTTGCTCCGAATAAGCTTATGTCATCATTCTATTACTTTTTTTCACTTTCTAGATAAAAATATTTAGGAACAGGGAAATAACAGAATTTTCCCAAAGTCAAACAGTTATTCAGTAGTAGAGGTCTGGAAAATATACATTTTGTGTGTTTGTATCTGGTGCTGGGAATTGAACCCAAGCTACATACCCAGCTCTGTCTTCACTAGTCACTAAGTTGCCTGGGATGAGCTCAGACTTCTGATTCCCTGCCTTCACCTTCAAGGGTACTAGGAATTTTGGACACGTACCATACACCTGGCTCCATACACCAAAACTTTAACAATGTCTGTTTCTGAGTGATGGAGTTACTGGTAATTTTCTGTTTAAGTTGCTTCTATTTTCAGTTTTTCTATACTGACATGTGTTACATATATCACAAAGGGCTTTTCTAAGGATAAAGCAATATAATTAGGACACAGAGAAGTAAAGATGCAGGACATGAAAGATGGTTCACTGAAAAATAACAATAAAAAGGTAAAAAAACAATAAAATGGGTAAGTGTAATGATTTTGAGAATACAAGAGACAAAAATTTAAATAAGCAAAATTAAAAATGAGAAATGGAATATAACAAGTAGCCATTTGAACTAGTGTACATAAAAAGATGATCTATTTTAACAATGTTGATCAACTAAATCATTACTTGGAAATTTTTTAAATGAACTCTAAAAGAAATATGAAAACTTAACTAAAGGTTTGAAAATGTTAAAGGTATAATACATTCTCCAAGAAGCTCTAGACATAGAGTTTACGAATCATTCCTTTCAAACCTCTAAAGAACAATAATCCCCATGTTGTATAATTTACTCAGTTTGTCTAATAAACCCAGCAAGAACATGATACTAAAACCTGATAAGTGCAACAAATTATTCTGACAAAAGTGGATATAAATATTCTCCACAAAACAGTAATATAAGTGATAAATCCAAATAATAATAATCACTAAGTTAGGTGTATGTCTATAACACAATGGTAACTGAATATTAGTGCATTTATTAATAAGATCTATTTCTACATGTGTCAGTGCATGAAAAGGAATGCTTCAGTGGGTGAGGAGCATATGTTATATTCAACTATTCTTGCTTTTAAAAACTCTAAGAAGTAGATATAAAAGAATAGAGCTCTGTAATTTAATAAAGCATACCACTCTAAAACCAATTGTTAGTAGTGATACACCAGGCTTTCTAGCGGCTAGAGCTAGTTCCATTAAAACTCATTCATAGGAAAATGGATGCATATTGAGGATATACTACTAAGTGAAATATATAAGTCACACATGTGTAAATACCGAATAGTTTCTCTGGTGTGAAAATCTATAACAGTACATAAGATCCTAATGAGATAACTGACAATGTGAAATAGGAAGAAAAGGGCTAAAGGTGTAGGGAAAGTGGGAAGGGTAGGGAAAAGGTAATAAGGGAAAAGAAAAAATATGAGAAAATGAAAAAAATGGAAATACAGTGTTTATAAGTGGGGAGGGCAGGAGGGGGTGAAGGGAGGGCAGGGACAACGGGAAAAAATGAGAACCAAGACCTGTCGTGTAAAGGTACAAGATTCCAAAAATGAATGTGACTGTACTGTATCCCTAAAATGTTCCAATAAACTCAATTAAAAAAAAACAAAAAAAAACAGGGTGAGAACAGGATTAAGGGGAATGCTGGTTAAATGGAAGATACAGGCCTTTCCAAAACCACATTTCCACCTGCTTACCTCCCTGAATACCTTCTCCTATTCAGGGCCTGAACTAAAGCAAAGCAAGTAAGACCTCTGAAATCCAAAATTTAAGATCATACTCAGCATTACACAAGCACAGGCTTGGCATTTGAAAGACACTGACAGTGAGTGTTGCCTTCAGTTTTGGGCCTTTAAAAAAAAAAGTGTCACCTATCTCTCTTTAATTTCATTCCTGCTCAGATTTCTTCTCTTCCTCCCTTGTCCTCTACCAGCTCTTTCTTTCACACAAGCTCAAGTGGGCCACTGAATTCAGCTAGCCCCTTTCTAGAACTTTAGACTTCTCCAGAGCAAAGTAAATAGCAATCTTCTGTGGTCTATTTATTCAGTTTTCCAACTTCTCTAATTGAGTAAATCCCACTGAAGTTTTCCAAATGCTTTGCTATTCTTTCCAAACCAATCAAGTTAACAAACTATCCATACTTAATCACCAAAGACCAAAGTCTGGATATTTACAACATACATGAGAAATGTAAGAGTGGAGAATTTAGTTTTTAGATATATATTATGATACATACTAGTTTAGGGTTTCAGATAAAATTTTTATTTTACTGAATTATGACCAAGTATTCTCTCTAGTTTAAGGAATTTAAAGAGTAAAATAAGGTAAATGTAAATGAAAAAAAAATTGAAAGTAGAACTGCTACATAAATGTCAACTATTACTAATTCCTATGTCCTTTTTCCTTTCCAAATGTATTATGGGAATCTGGACATTCACATGTCATTAGAATAGGCCATATATCACAGGAGGGCAGAAACTGCTGTAAAGTACGGCAACGGAAAACAGCACACGAGGCTTTGGAAAAGCTGGCTCAGTAACACTGTTAAATCTTTTTGAAAATTAATCTTATGGGTACATTTAAGGTATGCAGTACAATGGCACTCATCATTGGGAATTTGCACCTTTACAGAACCCATCTCGGTTCTTATTTTGTCCCCATTCCCCTGCCCTCCCTTCAACCCCTCCACACGTCCTCATCTACAAAGACTTGGTTCCATTTTTTCTTTTTCTCATATTAACTCCATTCCCTTCTTTCCTTTCCTCTGCTCCTCCCACTTCCCCTTCCCTTCTGCACCTTTGCTTCTTGGTGCACATTATTATTATACCTTTTAGCCCTTATTTACACTTTCAGTTTCTCACACTAGAGAAACTATTATGTAATCTACACACTGCAATTTCTTTACTCAGCATATTTACAAAAGATATCCTGTATGCTAAATCCATCTTTTTGGGTATTTAAAAAAATTAAAACAGACAGTAAAACAGCCCCAATTGGTGTGTTTCATGACATTTTCTTCATTGAGAAGTTCTTGCTACTGAGTATTTCTCAAAATGTATCCGAAGCTTAACATGTTTAAGGATTCATCTTACAGATAAATAACTCATTATAGAGTAATTTTATAGAATCTAAATTAATCTTCCAAAGTTTCAAAATATCACATAATCTTCATAAATGTAGGAATAATATATGTTTAAGGTAAAAAGAATGATAACTACAGGTATAGACAATATTAAAAATATAATAATCACCAGGAGTATAAGAATTTTAATATAGAATAATAAATTTTAAGGTAAATAGAATCATAGCTCTACCTTATCAGTAAAATTCTGCGTCAATTATCACTGAGTTTTAGAACACATTTCTAAGCTTGGTAATAATCAATATCTATTGAATAATCTTAAAACTTTCACTACTAGACTAGTGATTTTATTACTCACCTAATTGTTTCATTGGCTTCTGAAACAGCTCTCAAGTATTGTTTATAATAAAAATAATTAAAGCAGTATTTCCGAACTTTATGGGCTCGCCACCGACTCTGAATCTATTGATATAAAAAAAAGATAAGATAGAGCTTATATTAAAAACATAAAAGTTCTTCAAAATTAAGGCAATTACTGTCTCATAATTCATATTAAATAAGATCAGGCTTTCCCACTACTGTAACAGTATGTTAGCTGCAAATATAACTTTCACTCATAGATGTATTATAAGACATGACAAAGAGAAGCTATCATAGATGATATCATTCATTTAAAAGTATTTTAATTATTTCACAAAGTGCTAAACTGTAAAATTAGCAAATAAAAAGGTTTGCAAGTTGCCTTATGAATTCCTATTATTTCTACTTCTTGACAAAATAGATTTTAGGTTTTTTCATAACCCCTGGCTTGAAGATTATATTTTTTCCCATGTAAACTGCCTTTTAAATTTAGTAGTATCAGGAACTTTAAATATAATGTTGTCCCATATCTTAATCATGGTATTTTATTACTTCTTTAACAATACCAATACCTGACATTCACCAAGTTCTTTTATGTACCAAATACTATTGTAGATGTTTTGCTTATATTTATACATTTCATCTTTAGACCATTTCTATGAGGCAAATACTCATTCTCTCATTTATAGACAAGAAAGGGGTTACAAAAAAGAGGTTAAATCATTTTCCTATAATTAAATAGCTACCCTTAATAGATTCAGAAACCAAAGCATGGCTTCAGAAAACCCATTTTCTTAGTCACAGCACCACAAAATTGGTAATCAAGTAAACTGCAATTTTCAATCAATGAAAACTATTGAAATATCTTCTTTATGTCCATTATTATAGTTCAGATTAGTTTTAGTCCTTAGCAGAACACATAATTTTTTTCCTTTTTTAGATGAGAGGAGTGACGAGATATAAGACAACATACTGAAATATGTCCGTAGATCTCTCATAAAGCCCAATAGTTATGAGCATCAGTCTCCTTAAGTCCTATATTTGCTAATACAAACTTAATTAAATGAACTCAAAAATTATAATGTATGGCATTCATTTTATGTGTAAAAATATCTGAGTTTATTTAAAGGAGTAGAGAAAGAGAAAAGAATACTGATAGACATTAAGTTGGCCTTTTATATGGTTTAACTCCATTCTATAAAATTTTCCAATATTTTATATGTCCATATGAATGATTCATCTGCTGTCTGAGCTAAAATATGATTAATTTAAAATATTTTAACTTTAATGCTGAATAGGAAAAATTATATTCTTGTATTCTGATTTTTTAAAACTTTTCTGCTTTAAAACGTAGGACATGCCAAAGGTAGTTTGCAAATACTTTACAATGTGAGATACTAGATGTAGATAATTTAAGGAAATGATTTAGTCTTCGTCACAGGAAATAATCTGTGAGGACAGCTAAACCATAGACAAGAAAGTAAATCTAATGTAGATGTGTAATGCAACAAAGTTATAGAAAGGGCTTTTCAAAATTATTTTTCCAATTACCTTATTTTAGTGATATGTTCTTTAAATAAACAAAGGAATTTTTCTAAAATTATATAATATTCAATGTAGAAACTCTCTAATTTGCCCAAAACCATAGCACGGCTGACAAACAGTGGGCACTGGCATGGGCCATTTTCTAATGAGTCCGAATAATCCAGTGTAATATATATCCATACATTAATAGGACATGGACATGAGTATTCACCTGGCTCATGTGATTTCATCGTACAGCATCCTTGTGAGGAGAGGACTCTTATTAGTTTCATAAGATAGAGGAGGGAATCGGTGCTCAGCGAATCTGCCTAACTGCCTAGGGCGGGGTGTCACAGCGCGCTCTCCCTGCACACACAGGACCATTTTCTTGAAGGGGGGTTCCCTGCAAACACAGGCACCGGACTAGAAGTGGCTCAAGGTACCCAGGTAAAGTACTGGGACCTCCAACTGTGCTCAGGGATGGACGCCCTATGACATGAAAATACCCTCGAATGTCAAATAAAATAGAAAACGTGTGACAGAAAACGTCTGGGATGTATGACAGAGTATGAGTGTGAGGCCTGGTGTTATGAGCAGGTCATACCAGGGCAGCAGGTATGTCCATGCCTGAGAAAACAGGCCGGTGAAGACAAAATCTGAAACTGGCTGGAAAATCTGTGATAAAATAAGAAGGGTCCCCAGTACTGAGGTGGAGAGAGGCCAGCGGAAGGGGCACCTTCTCCCTCCACACCCAGTGTCTACTGGAAACAGTGCCAACCACAGGGAGGTCGTGGTGGCCACTCCCAAGAAACCCTCTCTCTCCTTAGCATCCGCCCAAAGCCAGGCGAACATCCCTTTGCTCAGCAAATCCTTTTACTCACAACTGGGTATTAAAAGGCATAATAAATAAGAGATGGTTAAGGTAACAAATTAAAGCTTATCCACACTAAAGTACAATCAATCAAGGTTTAAGTGGCTTTGTGCAAGATGAGACAGCGAGAAAACCTGGAAGGGACCGAGCACCTGAGCGAGGGAAGCAGCGGTCATCTGTGGAGAGAAGGAGCTCCATGAATGTGCCAGGGATCACGTGACTGTTTCAGGTCCCACAATACCGTGTGTTTAAGGCAAGGTCTCCATGTGGATAATGAAGAAAATGAGGTTAAGTAGTTTACTCAAGGTCATGTGACATCTTAGACACATACTGCTGGGAGAGAGGGGCGGGGAGTATTTTCCATTTTTCATTTTAAAGATATCATTTCTTTACACTAAAACTAGTCTAGTATAACCAGCAGCTTGTTAATATAAAAACATGCAACATAACTGAGATTCTACTGTATACTACTTCTTACAGGCACAAATGACATCTTCAATTTTGCCTATGTTTTCCATTGATATTTCAGTAACTACTTGGATACATTTTTCATTCTTTGCAAAAAGCACTTTCAGGAAGCACTATGAATTTTGATAACTTTTTTTTCTTAATTTGAAGGTGAATAGGTTATGATTTCCAAATTTATTAAGTGGCTGGCATCCATGTCCTTCAAAGTAATCAGTGACTCTCAGAAGTGATTGGTATGAAACAATTATTGTCATTGATCAGCTCTGAATAGATAATTTTAAACAAAGTCATTGTGTGCTCGACAGATTACAGCTTGTTAACGGGCAAATTCTAAATGACCCCTTGAGCTAGTCAAATCAGTGATGCATATTCCTCATTAAGTAACATCTAAGTGTAAGTGGTCTTATAAATAATGCTTATTTTAAGCACTAAAACAAATGGCAAAAACCTTAATATATCAAAGGCCATCTGCTCTTGGAAGAGATTTTCCTCTGCAGCATGTATTTTTATTCCTAAAAATCCACAGAAACCTAATGCTACTGGAAAGAGAGAGAGAAAAATCTTCTCACTTAAAATTAAAATGAAGACATGAAAAAAAAATTCACTGATAATAACCCACCTAGAACTAAGGCTCTAAATGTGTGTGAGGACACAGAAATAGGACTCAATTATTCCTGATTCAACTTTTACTTACTAGACTGCCTGACATTCCGGAACACTACACAAAGAACATGGAAAAGTGGCTTTACTAAATTTTTACTAGCAAGAAGTTTAAAAAACAGCAGAAGGGTAATATAACAGAAGTTTTCATTCAAAGTATAACTGCGTTATGATGTCAAAACTAACATATATATATATATATATATATATATATATATACACACACACACACACATATGAAAGTATATACTGTATTAGATGTGCAAATAGTTTCATATGTACATTTGTATACATATGAGATTTACAAGATTATTTTTATCAGAAGTTTCCGGATAATTACTACATAAGCAGATTCTTTAATATCCTGTTTCCTCATTCTACCTTACTTTCTATGTCCTTTCTCTATAAATCTATTTCACAATTTCACAATGATATTGGTGCCAGAAGTATCAAGAGGAGGGAAGAAATATTCTGTGCATGGTAACAACACCGCTGTCAGGTGAAAGCTCAGGACTATCTAGAGCTGGTTCCCTCCTCTCTTGTCCCCTCGGCTGACATTTAGGGATCACTGTCTCAGTGTGAGAAAGACTATATGTTATTCACTCTGAATTTACAACACTATAACAGTGTTCTGCATCTTTTTCCTGAAATTTTTATCTATCTCTGTTTAATTCTGGTATTGACTACTGTAAATAATGCGTGCTTGCTCTTACCTCTGGTTTAAGAGACTGAGATAAACATTTATGTCTCTGACATCCTCCCACACTTTTAAGTCACTAAACAATTTTCTTATATTTTATATTTTGACACAAGTGGAAAACAAGCAAAAATAGTAATTTGCAGTGCTAAGTTATATGAAATTTTATAAATTAAAACAATTTTTACATTAATTTGAACCTTTAAGGAAAAATGAGCAGTTAAAGTTATGATTTTTTTTTTTCAAATGTGTTTGAGTGAATTTTTAGTGTTCCTCGTTTCTGCAGTTTTTATTCTGTAGCTGTGCTGGTGAATCAGATCTGCAGTAAAATGCAGATCTTCCTCTTTTTTTTCTTTTTTTTTTTGGTACCAGGAATTGAACTTGGGTCCTTTGCGCTTGCAAGGCAGGCAGGCCCTGGAACCACTGACCTAAATCCCTGGCGCCTCCTGCAGTTTTTATTCTTAAAGAGAGCATTACTATTTGAAATAAAATAATTGACACGTGAAAATCAAGTTAAATTATTTAAAGTTAGAGCAACAGTAAAGAATGACGTGAACTTCTTTAGGTTCCCGGGGAGTTTCGCTAAGCAACTGCACGTGATTGATCAGGGTAAAAGAAATTCTAGTTGAAATAATCATTTACATCTGCAGTTCTTTACAACTCTGTAAGCTTTAGATTATTACCATTTTTCTGTTCCCCATGAATCTTCAGAACCCACAGGAAAAAGCCTGATAGAACACAATCGTACAAGGGAGATCACCAAGGTGCTGCCCACCAGCACTCTTTAAATCTGCATCCCAATGTTATCCTAGGACCGCTGGGCAAATGAGGACCCACGATGCACGTGGGAGACCCCATGGAAGCTCCCCAGGGGCATGCGAGGGTCGATCAGGCAGGCCAGAGATATAAATGCAAACAGCTACAGTCTTTCAGGTCACAAAATTCTGCGTGGTCTGCACCTTGAATTCCAAACAAGAAATAAATGACACATTATCTTTTTCTTATCATTTTCTGCTTCCTCCATAAATATGTTTACATTTTGTAGCAAGAAGAATGTTTCATCTAGGGATATAATGGGTGACAATTCATGATTCTGGTGCTAGGAATACGTGAAGGCCAGAGCAGGCCTCTTCTTTTTATGTGGTGGGTTTTTGACCCTAAGGCATCCAATTTTACCCATGAGGGGAACTACATAACGCTGAACAAGGATGCTTTGACTTAGTCTTCTATTCATTGCTAGGTGAAATGTCCTATCAGTAAGGATGCTCATGCACTGCTAGGGCCCCGGGGCCAATTTCCCAGGAGGACAGGATATGGGTACTGCCATTCCTCTAGGTTTCATGTAGTTGTCCTCATTGAAATTTTGAAAAAAAGTTAAGAGGCAACCAGAAGTACAGGCAAGGTGATGACAGGCAGAGGAGCTGATGGGAACGTGGGTGAGTTCCAGACACCTTGACCAAACACTGTTACTAGCTTTGCAACTTTGGGCAAGATATTTTTCTGTGATTCTATTCCCTCATCTTTGAAACTGTACTCGTGACGCTACACCTCAAAGAGGGGGTTGTGCAGATAACAGAGGAGAGTGAGAAGATTTACAACTCCGAGAATTGTGCTCAGGGAGTGGTAACAGCAACGCAATTGCTAACTCATTATTAATATTTGTCAATGTTTCTGACTTGCAAAGATTTGAAGATCTACAGTAGGGTGATCTTTTCCTTGCCTGGTCTCTGAGACACACAGGAATAATCAGTTTATTAACCGAGTACATTCAGGTGTCTACCAGCTGATCCCATTCAACGTCACATAGTAAGTTCAAGAATCTGGAGTCATTCTAGGAGCCTGTGTCTCTAAGCCCAGCATTCGGTGGTCCTGAAGTGACACTCACATCGTCTGCTTACTTCCATGTGCTCCTGGACATCAGAAGTGGAGGGTCAGTTTTATGCCACACTAGAAGATTACATACTGTGATGGAAAATGTTGTAAAATGTGAACGTTTAAAATTTTAAAAATGTATCACAGTAAAAGACACTGCCATTAATGCCCCTTAAAATACTCCCTCTGGCTTCGCACTCACCCCATTGTCCCTGCTGCTTTCTGAGGCAGTTCCGCAAGTCCTCTTTCCTCAGTGTCTTTAGTTGCACTGCTACGTCAGCTTCGGTATCCTGACTTGATTCAAACATTTACCTTCATGGTCACTTTGACTTCGTCAAAGGCCTAGAAGTTGCCTAGAGCCAGACTCGGTGGGTGCAGTGGACGAGGGCCGGGCATCATATTTGTAGCAGCCTGCCTCTCCCGGGGATGGCACTCAGCTCGGCGTTCACCCTATTTCTGATCTCACACACTTCACAAAGATAGGAAAGAAAACTTCCAGAACTGCTTCGGGAGACGCCAAGAGTGATGCGACAAGTGTTTCTGGGGCAAGGGGAAGTATTTTCAGGGGGATAAATGGCAGCCTGCCATTTAATATATTTTTTATTGAAAAACACACGAGATCTTTTGATCAGCCTTGCAAACCGTCAATGCAGGTGGGGCCAGGAGAGAAGTCAGTTGAGAAATCAGTGGGCGCTTCTGTGACAAGCAAAACTGTCTGAAAAGAAAAAACTGAAGAATGCAGAGACCAAGTTAAATGGGGTCCTCAGTAGTGGCCAAGATGCTAATGGAATAACAGAATCCTAGTCTGGAGTAAAGTCAAATTGGAGTACAAAACGGAAATGAAGTATTACACCAAGGAACAGGAGGAGTAGGGCCCCAGGAGCGAAGATAAAAATTACCGAGTGGTTTATTGCTCTATTAATTCTCACTGGTCTAGCAGGAAATCAGCAACAGGGATTCTAAAAAGTTGACTGTGGGCTCCAACATAGCTTGGATCCTAACAGACCTTCTTCAGGCCCATGTCTTCCATACTCCAGCAAAGTCCTAGCCTCACACGGTCTTCAACGCACACAGGAACCGCTCACTCACCTCTCCCACTTGATCCACGTCACAGAGCCTGTTCGGGTCTTCACAGAAGGCTTAAATAATTCCCAACTCAGGGACACAGAGAAAAAATATTTCAAGCAGAGGGCTTTTTATAAACTCTTTGCCTCAAAGAAATGAATCAGAGCTTAGTGGTTCATTTAGTTATTTACTTAACCACCTCCCATCAGCATCAGCACTGGAGATGCAGGGATGGAGAAGGCAGGGTATGGGCCTCAGGGGAGATTGGCACAGAAATGAGTCGGGACAATATAATGTTTCAGGCTCTACCACAAAAGTCCATCCACGGGAAAACAGGGAAATAGAGCAAGAGCGTGATTGATTCAACAGGGGTGGGGCCAATGAGGGCAAAGTACATGGGGCACATAAGGGTACTGATGTCTGTTATGTAAGGCAAAATTACGTACAGGCAAGTTGTGCTTACTCAGAAACGAGTAACATCTCTTCAGGGATGGGGGGTAAAAGTGTGTTTTCACAGTCTTTCTGTTTTATCGACCTCTGTGACCACTAGATATAATTAGTTGTCGTGCTAGCAACCAATAGCCAAATATATAACTAGCACGAGGCCATCCTAATGGGGTTGTTCTTACCTATTGTACAGTCCTATTTATGATTTGGAGATATATATTCATATATATGTATGAATATTATTGACCACACAGATTATTGGCTGTTATCTATTAGCATTAGAGGGTCTTATTTTACTCCCGGGACACTCACACCACCCACACTTGAACTACTTTGAATACAGTTATTTGGTAGCTCATGAACTGCAAAGGGAGAGTTTTAGTTCTCAGAAATAAAACTTCAGCTACTGCTCTCCAGTGAGGGTTGCAATCCTCAGATGTGTCCATACAAAGGTACGCGGACCACACATCTGTATCTTGAACAGCTCACTCCGGCAGAGATCAGAATTTTAACAGGAAATCCACCCACAGATGGATTCAGTTTGGATCACTGCGATCAACTTGTGTTAAAAATTAACCTTCGTTAGAGAGGTACTTACGGCCTCTATGCAAGTGAGCCTCGGCCCTGACTCCTTGGTTCGGAGCACAAAGCGCTAAGTCTGTTAGCAAATTAACTCACCACCATTCTCTGCAGCCTGTCCACCTCGTTAGAGAACGGCTTCTACTTTGCATCGCCCCCAGTAACATTTACACCTTTCCCTTTAGCCTTGCAGAAACTCCAGTGTCTGAAGTGGGTCATCTCAAGCTCTAGATTATGCTCCAGGATTCCCTCTCTTTATCTGGCCCCCATTGCTTTTCTTCTGGAATGGCCTCCCTCATGGGATAGTTTGTCAGAAAACAAAAATCTAGATGTCGCAGGGAGCAGCTTTATTTGAAAGGGCTATTTGCAAGGGGGACAGAAAGGCAGCAGCTGTCCCAGGGTACAGAGGTGAACTGCCAAATAGGCAGAATACTTGACCATAAGATTTACAAGGACGCCAAGAGGTAGGCACAGGAGTTAGTCTTTTGAAGGAAGGTGTAAGTGAGGCTAGAAGACAACTGCTGTGTGGCAGATGACGGAGTGGCATGCCCGGGTAGTGTTATCAGAGGTTTCACCCCGAAGCTGGCTATTTTCAGGAGGAGATGTTAAGGAGACATTGTCCGCTGGCCAAAGTCCAGGAACCTGGGGGCAAGCACACGAGCAGAGATGCGGTTCTGTGAGCCTGTTGCTCCAATTGTTCAGAGAAAATAAGCAGATCAGCTAAGCACTGGGGAGGTAAATAATAAGATTTGGAGGAGAGAAGTCTAGCCTTGTCATAGGTAACAGAATTGGGTATCTGTGTGTCATAGCTAAGTCATTCGGGAAGGGTAGTTCGTTGGCAACAAGCTCTTTCCAAAACACAATGAAGTGGAAGGATTGTTTTTGTAATCATTAACTTTATTTGTGACTGTTTAAAGACATTGGTCCACTTCCACAAGAAAAGTACAAATCATCCCCTTCCACCCAATATTCTACAGAATAAAATTGTACCACAGACTACAGTAACTGCACAGGGGCAAAGTTACTGAAGGAGAAAGATTTTAGATTCATGCCTCAAGATGTCCCCAAGACTTGTTTTTCGAATCTAATTACAAACATCTACATGCCACGGAGTCGGCCTCTTCTAAATCACATCGCGTTCTGAGTATCTGTCCTAGACACACAATCACCACACTTGCAGCAGGAATTTAAAACAGCCACACTGCCAATCAGAGACAGTTCGAAACTAAGTGACTGTATAAGCATATCTAGTACTTTAGGGCTGCTTTAAGATAACATCTCTCATTTCAGAGATATTTACTTCAAATTACAAATAATTTTTACAAATAATTCATAGTATGTACCAGCCCAAATAGGATTTTCATTTGTTCTATACAAGCAAGTTAAGCATTCATAAGTTTCTCTAATAAATTCAGTGCATTTTTCCAACATAGATAACACAAGCTACTCTGATTTACTTTTTTTCAGCACGTCTTTCCAAATTTACTAAATGGAATGAAATCATGTTATTAAATGGCTATATCATAAAACTCAAGCATACTATGGAGTCTATATCACATATTTTGACTCACATCGATACTCTAAAAAAAATCACAGGTGCACACAAAATAAAGAACAAAATTTGCTTTTTTAAAAAGATCAAGGGTACTATCTATTTTAAAGTACACTAAAAGATATATTTTAATAAAACAGCAGATGTCTAAACCCCTTGTCTAAGTCTGGCACGAGGAAAGCTCAGTCCATTCGAATCTTCTGGTTTGTCATCCTGTAAATGATGCCGTCATAGCCGGGATCCATATTCCAAATGTTGTAAGAGGCGATAATCACAGCCAAGGCCAACGCAATCACTGTCCAAAGTATCATGTTGAAAACCACTGCATACTCAAAATTATACTTGAATGCAAGGTTATAGGGCCTTGCAGTGTCCTCTGGTTTTGTCTCCAGGACAGTCCTTGTCTTCCTCACAAGAGCTGTGTCAAACGATTTGACAGTCACTAATTCCACCACTGCATTACCACCATAAAGAGTGTACATGTCATCTGCAAACTTCTGCAGAGCATCAACGAGTATCCTAGAAGCATCTCTGAATTGTTCGGAGTCTTCCCCATAATGTTTCCCAATGTCATCTAAACCCGACAGCTCCAGTGAATATAAATCAGGAGAATGGTCCTTAGCTAGATGCTTGTGACGAGACAACAGACTTGAAATGTCATGGAGCACTTGCAGTTCAGAGAGGAAGAGCAGGCCAACTTCGTCGTTCCTACTCAGAGAGTTGAGGGGAAGGGAATTGAGAACGGAGTTTTCTTGAAACAGGCGATGACGCAGTTGCCACAATGTGACTGAAAGGTCTTCAAAAGCTGAATCTGCCTTCCCCACCATATATACTCTTCCCTCACTGGGAGCCCACTGCAGAACTACAGGAGTTTCTTCAGAAAACAAGGAGTGAATGGAATTTGCAACGCTGTCAAGACTAAAAGGAACTGCATTCTCCAAAGGATAGGAGACGACACCACCTGGAGGGAGAGGCAGCCTGTCAACTCCCTTCACCAGCACCATGACGGTAGCCCTGGGCCGATGGAATAAGTTACCCACCGCGAGTCCTGGCCAAGAAAGGTCTTCTTTCACAGAGAAGCCCATGGACAACGCAGCCACGTCTGGGATTCGTTCTCCTGGTATAGGCCAATTTCCATTTCGGAAGACAACGGACCCTGGCGATCTTAATATACTAAACTCATTCCCTAAAACATCCGCCACCAACAAGGGCAGCAGCGCGACGAGCACAGCCATGGTGCCGCAGCAGCTGCAGCACTGAGGGGCGACTGATGGCACCATTGGGACCCAAACGACCACCGCAGTGTGAAGGGGTGACGTGTCTGGGCTGCTTCTCAGAGGAGTTTTTTTAAACCTTTGCTATTTTCCAAGATCACAGGACACAGTTAAAGTTCAAAATTGCCCACTGATCTTAATCAAGCACCAACTGGCATGGGTGGGGCTACTGTGAAACAGAGTTCTTGGTATGATGTTGGAATAAGTAGAAAGCTCTGGTACTGATAGTGCCCTGGATATGACTAGTCTAGGTAAGAGCAACCATAATGATGCAAATCAGACCAGATTTCAATTTGAATACTACACACAATTCCAACCCTCTCTTCTGTGCTTCTAGCACAAATGACGTGGAAGATCGGCTCTCCTTCTGGGGCCTCCCCTGGTGATCCACAGGATTACCCCAGATATAGCTTATCCACTGGGTTAGCTTCTTGGGCATCTACTGATTCTTACTCTAGGGTCACAGGTGGCAGGAAGAAAAATCTATGGCAGAGCAGTAGAGAGAATCAAAATCCAGACTAAAGAGAAAAATCAAACTTTTCTTTCACAAATATTACAAGCTAAATAGCACCCTGTAGTTACAGTATCTGCTTGTGGCTCGGAAGTGGCAAAGAGATCTACTTCTTCCTTCTTCTTCCACAAACTCAGAAGAGCAAAGAAGTGGACAGAGATTTTGGAGACAGGCTCTGGCCTGAGCTTCCAGTACGTTTACGCCTAGAGAAGAAAGCGCTCCTTCCAAAGGCAGTGTAGGAGCCAACATATCATCGCTTAGGCCAGCACGGGTCAACACATACTTTCAGAAATTCTTTGCTCCTTTGCCTCAACCCAAATAAAATCTACTATTCGCAGAACAAAGGATCAGCAGATTAATGAAAGAAAAGATAGTAAGGTGATATTAGGTCTTAAAAACTATGAAACTTCTCCATATAGGATAGTTTAGCAATTAAGATGTTGTCATTTTGTCTGAGACAAAGGAAATATCTTATGATGCCCATTCCAGGTTAAAATCAGGTCCAAGCCCCATAACTGCTAAATTTAGCATTCTGTTGGAAAAATAGCACGCACAAATGATAAAAATAAAGCCTGTAAGTTGGAAAATGTCATTATCACCACAAATCGTATGTATAATTTCTAACGGATTTGTGTTGGGCAGAGATCATATATCCCGGAGCCATACTCATCTATTTATCACAATATTTTCTATGGCACATGGAAACTAATACACGGCTTCATTAGTATTTGTAGTCTTTCTTTAGTTACGGCTTAGAGGTATTCAACACTCTAAAACATACACATTCCTAAGCACATATTTTATATTTTACTCTGGTTTTTAATGTTGCCGAGATTATTTAGGATAGCTAACTTTTTAATCATGTGCTCTTTTCTCTGTTAACATTAGCATATCAATCAAATTTGCATTATTCTGCTGTGCTCATTTTATTAAAAGCGAATTCAGGGCACAATTGACTTTTCATTTGTTTAACAAGTGAAGAAATATTTACCCTGACAGCCATTGCATTGTAGAGATCCATCTTCATAGTATAATACGCTACCTGTGAATCAAGGGGAAAAAAAGATGGCATACATTTCAGTTACACAAAGACAGTGAGGCCTATTTTTACATATAAAAGATAAGAATCTTTATACATAATACATAATAAGAGTTCTAGGCTTAGAAAAATGAAATCAAACTTTGCACTGAAGAGATAGGCTTCCTAATACATAATGCAAGCTTAACCAGGAAAATCTGTGGTAGTCAAACTAGGAGCTAATGGAGATATATGATCATAAAATGCTCTCCGCTGAGCTTGATAATCAATGGTGCTCTACTGAGAATAGAATAACAAAGCAGAAATATTCACAAGTGCTGGTGACACGTAGTATTGTATGATTTATTCACTGGGGTTCTTTTAGCCAAAACTTGCAGAAACATAAAAGGAATTCATATTTCAAGACGTCTGGTTTAATGAAAAATTCAAAGAAATGCTGTCTTCAGTCAAAATCGTTCAAGGATATGGACACAGCGATGGAGTGAAATTGTGCCTTCCAACCATCTATGCAAAATGTTATGTACTCAGCTGCCTCCTGAGTAATCCTTGGGAATTTTGTTTCATTTAATATTCATTTTAACACCACAGAACTATAAATACAATGATACCATGTTACAGCAAATCCCTGGATATAGTGAAGACTTCCTAAAGTCTATTTCTTTCTTTTAAAGACACATTTATCTACTAATATAAAAAATACCCTCACAGCAAACAATTATTTAGCAATGTAGATTACTTCAACAAAAGTATGGCCTTAAATAAAGCTTCCACATCTGCTGTATCTTTTAATTTAAAATGCAAAATGAACATAACTCGTGACAGTGCAGTTGAACAGCAAAAGCAACAAAAAACAACATTTTTCAACAGAATACACAACTTTTTCCATTTTTATCAAATCAAAATTAATTCAACTAAAATAACTTCAGACCAGGTATTGAGGCTGTGTTTCAGAGAAAAATGGGGAAAAGGTGTCCCGGCCCTTTATCAAGGGATTTTCCTTCTCCATAGGAAACAGGAATTCATATAAAAGGGTTTCCTTGTAATTACTGTTGTTTGAGTTGTCTGCTCTGATCCAAAGCAAATTGTCTGTGGAGAGCAGCGGTGCTGGATTATTTATCAACAGCCTGAGCAATTAAGATACAGCTGGCTGCAATACATTATTTACCAATGGACACAACGGTGTTACTTCATTTCAAATTCTCTTTCCTATATTAAGTTAGGTATCTGTCTTCGAAGTCAAGGCGATTTGAAATATTTATTTTAATAACTGTGTTTCTTCATGACATACTGAAGCACATACTGACTTTAGATAGTTTTGTAAAGAAACAATACTAGAGATGATATATATTCCTAAGAGTTTGGGCTCAGCAAAACTGTATGTGCTATCCTTACTATACCATTATTTAGGAGACAGTGTCTGAGTTTTCAAGTCATAGACCTGAGTTCAGTCCCCAATTTGGTTTATATGAGCAGTGTGGCTTTGAAAAACTTACTTTAAGTCTCTCAGACTTCCTGTCCATGATTACAAGAGTGCATGACATGCTTCAATGCATGTGAAGACTAAACTGAGATAAAGCCATTACGGTACTCAGAACACAGGTGACAGTCACTATGAAAGGGATTAGCAGTAGCGTGATGCTAAGAGTCTGTAACATAACTGTTAGTCAAATTCCAAAAAGTATAAAGGGCTAAATTTTATTATACTATGAACTAATGGGAAAGACAGAGATAGCTTTGGTGCCTAAGAATTCTGAACTCTGTATTTGGAGATGGAAAAGCACTCTGATGCTAGCATATCAATCTGAAATACACCACTAATCAATATTTATTCTCAGTTCCATAGTCCAGATGCTTTTGAAAGAACCCACAAAAAGCATGTGACACAGGTGTTCTATGATTCTACTCACAAAATGTACCCACAATAGTCAAATTCATAGACAGAAAACAAAACAGAGGCTACCAGGGGCTCGGGAAGTAGTGAGTTACTGCTTAATGTGGACAGAATTTCAAGTTGAGATGACAGAAAAGTCCTGGAAATGTACAGTGATGATGTTTGCATAATAACATCAATCTAGATGGGCGTGGTAGCGCATGCCTGTAATCCCAGCACTTGGGAGGCTGAGGTAGGAGGATTGCTGTGAGTTTGAGACCAGCCTGGGCTACACAGTGAGTTCCAGGTCAGTCTCAACTACATAGTGAGACCCTGTCTCAACAAACAAACAAACAAACAAACAATAATGTCAATCTAATTGCCATTAAACAGTACAGTTAAAATGGTTAACACTGTCAATTTTATTTTATAATATTTTTAGAAATACTAAAAATATGACTATGAACTATGCATTTCTATAAACTAGAGGTAAATTTGGATACATTAAAATTTTGTAAAATTTCATCTAAGTCTGTGTTTCTCCACTCTGAGTAATGATAATTCCTTGTTATTTTAATGTTTATTCTTTGGTCACATGACTAGCTAAAATACAACTCATACAAAAACCCATGGTTTAAAATTATTTTCTCTCCTAAAATTTTTTTCTTTTTTTTTTTTTTAGTTGTAGAGTTTAGTAAACACATGGTAGCTATTCAACATTAATAGCATATCCAAAAATGACAAAGCACTGTAATTTCAGAGCAGAAAAAAAATGTTATTTTCCTCACACCTAATTAGTGAGTAAAAGCAGAACAAAGCTGGACCTTCATTTTGTGCTTATCTTCTTTATTAACTTAAACTTGGGGTCAGATCCTGCCCTCCTCTACAGACAGCCACGGCAGACACTTAGAGACTGTATCCAAAAACTGGCAATATGGGTTGACAAGCCCTATGTTCACATGACCAACCCCATTCACGTTCAAGATTGGGGAAATTTGGTTAAGAGATTTACAGGAACATTCAATACCCATGGGCACGTGAAAGCCTCTAGTCCCTCCCCTAATCTGTGGTCATCTTGAATTTCAGCAGAGAGAGCCTCCCCTCCACAAAACTAAGACAACTCCGAACAAAAGCAGTCATTTCATGGAGACTAAACTGCCCCTTCAAATGAGAAGGACTTCTTTGAAGTTCCTTGGAGAAGCAGAACTAAGATAAGGGCTAGCCAGACTCTAGCCCCATGCACAAGCTTGCACAAAATGGCCTCCCTCCTCTCGTAACAGGCCAGTCTCCTCTTCCTTTTGAGAGCTGTGGCCCCTTCCGCTCCTCCAGATGAAGCCCTTGCCCCACTTTTTAACCCTGCCTATTAAATCAGTCCAGCCCTCTCCTGAGGTGCCCGAAATGCTTCTATGCAGCAGTATGTCAGGGCCTGCCCATTTCTTCTTCAGAAAGACTTCCTTGTCCAAGTCCAGGGACAGCACCGTCACTGGAGCGAAGGGCTAGCATTCTCCTTGCTTTAAGAGGTACTTCCCAACCGGAAGAACATGTGTCTTTAAAAATAACAATGAAACAAACAAAAAACTTCAAATCTCAGACTTTTCAAGGGTACTGCCTGCCATCTGGCTGCATTTTGCTGTGTCTCTTTCCTTATGCCTTTGGGTACACAGCGTTTGTTCCTTGCCTTCTTGCTCTCCCCAACCTGTCCCAATCACACGGTATACATATCCTGACAGCTAGCTAGCCGTCTTACTCCTCCTCAGGACTCCCACCCTTATTCCCAGACTTGCCCTGTTATGTGGACAGCAAAATCAATTACCTAAGCTCACAATCGCCTGGCTCTCTCAGTCCCAGCACCCACGTTTCATTGTAGCCTTACGTTTTCATTGCATGCTCCAGATCTTGTCCACTACAAATGTTCTGCTTCCTGTCTTAAACCCAGACTGCAAATTCTTCTGTTTAAATCCCTGGAGGATACATTTCTATTAAAAGACTCTTCGGCCTAATTTTGACAGCTCTCTCCTTTATTTCAGCTTCAAGTTATTGATTCACATATTCTTATAGATGATATAACATGCAGGGCTACTTGGTACTTTGTTCTATGAATACACAGCAAGTCATTTAATGTTTCCTTCATTGGTGAGCATTCTGACTGGAAACCAAGAAAAGGCATGTCTCACGGGGGCAAAGGCTATTTCAGAAGTAGAATATTTAAAGTAATACATTGTCATAATTTTGAATCTGTAACGTGTCTGTATCAGTTAGCTTTCCTATTGCCGAGGCACAATATCTGACATGCAGAAATTAGAAAAGGAAAGGTTCGCTTTAGTCCACAGGGCCAGGAAATCCAGCGCATGCTCAGCAGGCTCCAAGGCAGAAACATCATGGCGGAAGGGAAGGTGGAGCGGAGCTGCGGAGCTCATGGCCACTGGAATCTGGGAATCGGAGAGGGGAGCAGCACCTGAGAGGAAGGGGTGAGGAGCTGTACCTGGTGCCCAAGGCCACAGCCCAGGGCCACAGCCCAGGGCCTTTCCAGACACAGCCAGGGTCATGCTTTACGAATCTGCTAGGAATTTCTTAATCTAATGAAACTGACATATCGGGATTAACAGTCACGGTATCTACGGAAATTTACCAAATGCAGTAGCTGTGTTTTCTAGTTCAAGCAATAGCAAGGAGATAACCGCATTAAATCAATGACAAGGAAACATTTAGAAGCCATGCGAACAGGGTGACAGGTCTGAGGAGCTCAAGTCTGTATTTCCATACCACTGCCACTTTCACTTCATAATTTTGAGTGTAATCATTAAAGTGACAAATTATCAAGTGATCATGGTAGTCTGTGCATTGTTTTGCCTTGTTGGCTGCTGATTGCTAAGAAAGTGGCTGTTGTCAACAGCTAATTTTTAAAACAGACTTTCTTTTTCCGTAAAAAAGAAAGTGAAAGCCAATTATATTTTTTTCTCCATTACTCTTAATATGTTGAGAAGTTGAACCAAATCTAAATTCATTTCATAATTATGGTGAAAATGTTAATAAAGTGTTAAATTAATATTAATAACTCAAATTATTATTTTGTCCTCGATTTGATGTTTATTTAAAATGCAAGGCTCTGAAGGGGAAAAAAATAACATATACT